CCTCCCTCAGCTCCCTGGCCGCCTCGCGCATCCTCCCGGGAAGCGAGGATTCGTCATTTATCAGGGAAGTAGTGGAATCGCGTTGTGGCACTACCGGCTCTGCAGCTGAGGCTCGCGCGACTGCTTCGGCCGCCGCAACCGCCGCCATCTGCGCTGCTTCCGCCGCTCGCACCGCCGCGCGTGAGTGGGCCGCCGCGTCTATCGCCGCGTCTGTCTGCATCGTTCTTCGCCCTGCCATCTGCGCTGCTTCCGCCAACCGCACCGCCGCGCGTGCGTGGGCCGCCGCGTCTGCCGCCGCGTCTGTCTGCATTATACAGTGTTGTTGAAGCCGCCTGCTGTCTGGTATAGCCTCAGCCGACTCCGTGAACTCTCGAGGGATCTCGAGTTCACACCGAGCAGCTGGGAGTGGCTGCGCCGGGGCACACTCTCTCGAGGTTCTCGAGGTGGATATCCTTTGGCCGCGTAGCGAGGATTGGTGTTTTCTGCGGCGACTCGGGCACACACGGTTTCCAAAAGAATCTTACAACAAAACTCCCTCGCACAACACTGGGCACGGGACTGGCGCGCACTGGCACGAACACAGGTACACCAAAAGAATTTTACAAGCGCTCGCACATCGGTTTAAAATCCCTGTGCGGTGGCGGCGTGCCGTTCTCCCATCCCTCCCTTGGTTTGTCTGTTTTCTTTCTTTCTTTCTTTTTGGGCATCGGGACTGGCGCGCACTGGCACTAACACAGGTACACCAAAAGAAATCGGGTCTCGTGAAAGAGATTTTGACTCCCTCCCCCTCCTTTCAGAGGGATGTTGAAAACTAACAAGAAATCTCCCCTCCCTTTCTCTCTCTCTTCTATTCTACAAGCGTGAACGGGTGAACCGCGCCTCTGCCCACGTCTGACTCGCGCGCGCGTGATCCGTGTCTGACCCGTTAACAGGGCTTGCAGCCTGTCCTCGAGAGCCTGTCCTGGTGTCCCCCCGCGCCACATACGACAAAACAAACCAATGCTCATGCACAATGGACAAACGGGACAGAGTCTCAGAGAGCAGGGCCCAATTCGCCAATTGAATGTGTGAATGTTAGATTTGTTTGTAGTATTGCTAAATCTCTCTCTCTCTCTCCAGACCTAGTCTCTCGGCGCGTCCCCGCGACGCGCGAGGGCCGCGACCTAGGGGGGGACACGGTTTCCAAAAGAAATCGTTTTGCTTAGGGAAAGAGATTTTGACTCCCTCCGTACGGCGGGCAGTCTCGAGACCATGGTGCGCGCGCTCGCCCCACCCGTGCCCACGGCGGCCTGCGCGCGCGCGCGCGCGCGGTAGTAGGAGTAGGCTGCGGGTCGTATGGCGCCGGTGGTTCACCACCGGTTGCTCATCCCCGGGAGCAACGAACCGAGCAGCCAGACCGTGTGCGCCAAACAGCAGCACGTTTGGCGACTAACAGAGCACCAGCCGAGGTGCTGCCCGCCGAGGCCCGAGCACGCGAGGAAGCGCGAGACGGGGCGGCGTGTGGGCCGCCCGGCGAGCAAAACGACTGGCGCCGCGAGCGTCGCGTGCGTCAAGGCTCAAGCAGTCGAGAATGTCGAGAATGTCGAGAATGTCGAGAATGTCGAGAGTCGAGAATGTCGAGAATGTCGAGAAGTGCGCCATTCGGCGGCCGACGGTCTCTGACCGCGCTGCGCTCGCAGCTGCAAAGACGCCGCCGCAAATGCCGCCGGACCCGCATCCGGAAGAGCCAGGATTCCAGCTGCCGTCGCTGCTCCATCCCCCGCAACAAGCGTGCGATGCTGCAGCACTGCGCCAAGAGGCGCAGCAACCTCGACCCGGGTGTTGCTCGAGTCCGCAACGCCCACGGGGCGAATGCGATTGCCTGGTCCTATCGCCAAACGGCTCTGCTCCTCCTCTTGTCTGGCAGCAATCGCAAGCTGCGGCACACAGGCCGCGTTGGCGCAGAGGAGGCGGCAAGCCTCAACGCGCCTACCCGTGGCATCCCGCCGGATCGGGCCAAGACTAAGGCTGCAGGCGTCGGCCCCGGCTGCTGCGAGGGCGCGCCCTCCCGTTGAGGTGTCCATCTTATGTGCAGTGGGGCTACAACTGTAGCGCGTCGGCAGGATCCCCAAAACCGTCGTCCACACCCCCCAAACGATTGAATTCGGACCGCCCAAATCTGCCCCCCCCCCCCCCCCCAAAAATTTAAACCGCCATAAAGATCTATCTGCAGGGGCTCTGTCCCCCCCCCGCAAACTCTAAACCACCATAAACTACAGTCTGCAGGGGCTCCAGGCCCCAAATGACGTGTGAGTGTTAGGGTTGTTCGGTTGTGCCGACGCGACCCCGTGCCTCGGCTCTCTCTCGCCTCTCGCGTTCGTTACTTTGACACCTTTTTCCCGTGACGAAAAACGAACGCACACCAAGCGCTAAGCGTGAGGACACGATTTCGAATTCGGAGTAGCACCTGAGCAAAATTGAGCCCGCTCAGGTGTGACAGAAAAGTATAAGGGTCGACCAGGTTTCGAACTGGGGACCTCCCGCCACAGCGGGAAGGCATCCAGCAAGATACGCTGAAATTGAAAAGAAAATCAGAAGTTCGGGAAAAGCGGAAAACCTATATAGCATACCGAGGGAATTAGACCCACAGAGATACGCACACACCGCGACGCCCGAAGTGCCAAGAAGGACGTCATTCGTACGAAACCTCAGAAGGCCATGGGCGCCGAGAGAACATTCCCTCGAGAGGACAAAAGACTGGGTCCAGCCCTGGGTGGCGCAAGATCTGACGTTCTGTGACAATCGTCAGATCCGTGTTTTTCTCGTTGTTTTGTCGCTCGCTCCGCTCGCCACCTCACGCTCCGTAGTCCGGCCATGGCCAGTACCCCGCGTCTCAGTGAGACGCGTGGTACCATCCAACTCCGGTCGAAGGGCTCGAATGCGCTCAGCCTCAGGAACAAAACCACGCAAATTCTGCACGCCTCGCTGCGCCGCTGGCTTGACTGAATCAGGCAGCAGGCTGCTGCTGCTGCTGCCACAGCAGCAGTCTGCTGCGGCCCTAATACGCAAGTTAATGACTAGCAGCACTGCCGGGGGCATACGAGCCGCCACAGCCGGTGTGCGGCCGTGCACTGCCACCTGCCTGCGGCTACGCACAATGTGCGCTCGCATTGGATGAGCCCTGCTGATGGACCTGCGTCGCCTAGCTGCACGAGAGCAATGCCGCAGGCGGTGGCCGTGGCATACACTGCGAGCACACTCGGTGCAGCTGCGAGGTGCAGCAAGAGCACGTCGTTCCTGCCTCTGATGCCACTCTCGCGGCTTGTAGCGCGTCACTCGCGAATGCTCTCCAGGAGCTATGGCGGGCGCGTGTGTGGGGCTGTAGCCTGTGTTTGGCCGGTTCTGACCCGTTTACTATCAGTATCATGCCCGGGCCACAAAAAATCGCACACGGGTAGCGGCTCAGGGGCCCAGTAAGTCGCGGAATCGCCAAATGTTTCACAACCTGCGCCACCCAGGGCTGGACCTAGTCAAACGAAGAAAGGCGTCGCACCCCCTCCTTGCGCAGTGGTACCCCGCGCTATGTGTCGCCGTCATCGGGGCACGCTATCCTGTGAAGTCAGGGGGCAAGCGGGGGCGAGGCGCAGTCCCTCTGGTCTATACTGGTGTGGTTCTGTCCCTAGTCTCGGAGGGGGGCAAAAAAGATAAGAATATCTTTTTTTTTACTCTGACCGCCTTTTTTATTTTAGTCTCTCTCGACCGCCAGTCACTCGGCGGGCTCAAAAAAGAAAAAGACCGCGTAGTCACCCCCCTCGCTCAACGAACAGCACCACCTGCCCATTGCCCTGCGCCTCCTGGCCGTTTGAGCCAATCGCGGCGAGCACCGTCTCGAAGGACGCCTTCTCCGCCGCCAGCACGCTCTTTAAGAGCGTGGGCTTGCCCACGCCGCCCAGCATGAGCTGCCACGCCGGGTACGACATCCCCATCGTGACGTAGGTGGTTGCGCGCACGAGGTCTCCCACCTGCGCACGGCCGGCGATGGGGGAGCGGTGTCGCAGGAGGTGCGCCGGTACAGTACGTGAACGGTGCGCGGGCAAGCCGCCGCCTCGACTCCGCCTCCTCTGGCGCTGCCACTGTCCAACAGTTCAGTCACCACGATCTGCCTGGCTTGTGGTGCGTCTTCGTCGCCGCCGTCGCCGCCGTCGCCGCTCTCCTCGAGCGCCATGCCGAGTGGCATGTCG